CAGTCACATCTAACATGACATGTTATGTTGTATCTTATTAAATTATTAAAATTTGAATGATAAAAAAAAATATATAAATACATACTTTTTATATGTTTCTACCTTTTTTTTCAATTGTTCATTTTCTTTTTGCATGTAATCAGTTTTTGAAGCTTGTTCTTTAAAATAAATCAGCTGTTGTTTAAGTGCATCAATGATACTATTTTTTTCAGTTTCTGTTTTTACTAATACTTCTTTTAAATGTGTAGTTTCTTTTTTTAATGCATGATATTTTTCTGAATAATGTTTAGCATCTTTTTCTTTCATAGTTAATTGCAGTGTTAGCTTATCGACTTTATCCTGCAAAGAATATTTATCCTCTACGATGGTATCATTATTAGAAAAACTGAAATATATTCTATGAATCTGACGCATTGTGGTTTTTTCTCTACATTGTGGGCAAGATTTAGATCTGTACAAAAAATTAAAATTAATTAAAATAAAAATAATACACAATATTTTATTGTAAACTTTTGTATACATTCCTAAATTTCAATATATACAGAATGTCCAATGGAATTGGGCCCAACTATATCTTTGAAAAGATTGGAAACAGAGAAAAATGTCATAGGACAAAATTAAGTGGTATTAAACGCTACATATTCTTATGAAAAGTTTATGTATTTTTGTCTCTAATTTTGAATATATTAACATTTATTCTCCATTTATATGACAGGATGCACAAATGTGTGCATTTCCAAATGTATGGGAATTTTCATTGACATTATACTATGCAAAAGTGGATTGTCTGAATCTACCTCAGAGTATGGTTCAGTATGCTATCTGCCTCTATAGAGTTAAATGTTTGGACTGTTTATAGCTCACTATTGGTTCTGTGAACTTTTATATATCTATTATTCCTAAGAGTCTGGAAACTTACCTGGCACTAAAATTAACATATCGTACAACCTACATCTGTGCTCAAGTGTAAATGGATTCAGTTTTTCACCCGCTATAAAACATGTTAATATCAACATGTTATGTTTGAAAATTGTTAGTATAGGTATAATTTCAATTTTAAATATTTTGGAATTCAAACTACCAACTCTCTTGCATGACACTGAAATTCCCTTATCCACACAACAAATAATGTATTTTTTATAAGATGGGACTCCAGCACATAATTCTTAAGTTGCCACCAGATATTTAAATGAGAAATATTCAAACAGATGGATCCTGTAGTTGTCACATTTGACACCACTTGACTTTTTTTATGGAGATATTTAAAGGATAAAGTATATTCACATGCATGTTAGAAATATCACAAATTAAAGAAAGATAACTACAGGATATGATAAAAAATGTGCAAAAGGGGATGAAGAAATGTTCAGAGTATAGTGGAGAACCATTTGAACATGTCTTATAAGGTAAGTACTGTAAAAAATTATAGGACATTTTATCAATATTAAAAGCTGATTTATGTTTACAAATAAAACAGTGATAGAACATAACAGTTGAAAAAGTATATTTAAGTGTATTGATACATTGGGATAATTTAGCATGCATAAAATTAAAATAACACCTAAACTAACAATTTTCAAACATAACATTATTAACATATTTTATAGAGAATGAGAAACTGCATCGATTAATGTATTCAAAATTTAAGTATTACTTTTAAAAGAAAACGCAGTTACACCTCGCAACTGCACCGATGCACAAAAATGTATAAAAGTTTCATAAGAATATATAGCGTTGAATATCATTTAATTTTGTCTTATAACATCTTTCTCTACCTCCAATTTTTTCAAAGATATAGCTGGGCTCAATTCCATGGGATACCTTGTATAGAATTATGAAATATATTTTTAAAATTACTTTCAAGATCATAATATACATATCTTACCTTTCTAGCCATTGAGTCACACAAACAAAATGAAAAATATGTCCACAGGGAGTATAAAACACATCATCAGATGGTGTTAATAAATCACTGCATATTACACAAACAATATTCATTTTACACAGAACTTAAGAATACCAATTAAAATAATAACAGAAAACAAATTATAATAATACTGATAGACTAAATAAATATGAACATAATTATCTCGATTTTATTTTAATTGTAAACTAAACAGTATGCATGTAATAAATACAAATCTTTATACAATTTATAAATTTTTAGCAATAGGTTGGAATGAAAGCCCTCCAATAAAAATTATGAAAGTTTGTCTTAGTTTTTAAAATTACGTATTTCTTATTGTCACACAGTTCATTCAGTATTTTATTATTGTCATTTTTTTTCTTATAGAATTATTTAATTGTATATTTTTGTTTTACACTTGTATAAATAGATTTCTTGAATTATTTTTAGTATTTCATACAATATACATGATATAATATTTGAATTCTATATAATTTACAAGTAAACATCGAATGCCAGCATGCGGCAGTTGAATTCTATGTACATAAAAATAATAAGATAAAAGAGTGATCCGTTTCGATTGGATGATACAAGCACAGACAAGGTACAGGATAGACACACATGCAATGTAAAATTTCGTTACACGCTCCCGGGGGTCCCAAGGCCCCTATACCATTTCGGTGTCGCGTTCGATGTAACCGATAATGCAAGATCTTCGGTTTGTTAGCAGGAATCGGATTAGTTGTATATTTTATTTTTGCTACGAGTATGTCATATGATTTAGCGGCAATAAATGTATTTAAACGATGGAAACAATATTTATTCAATAGAACTTCATGACAATACAATTTTTATTAATTCACAAACGTAAATATTTTGATAAATTCGTTTACTATATAAATTACAACTTTAAAATGTACATAAGAAATTATTTTGATTAATTATACAGTTATAGAAAATTCTTCGACAAATTATATACCAATAGTTTTAATTTTAATAATTGAAATCTTGACAAATAAAATTAAAGTCCAATATACATTTTTATTTAAACTATAATATTTCTAACAAAAATTGTTAAGCATTCAGCACTAAAATGTACAACACACTTTTAGATATTATTTTGAATTTCGATATAACGATTTTGCTTAAGCTGTGCAAATAAATATGTAAGCAGAAGTTTAGAAGGGTCAGGATGGTTTCTCTCGAACAAAAATACACTGTGTGATGATTATTTTGTTTATTGAAATGACCGGGATATATAACGCCCTTTATAACGCCCTCCGTCAGGGGCACGTCACCGTACATGTGTTCCAATCTTTCGGGCGCCGTGTGTCGGCTTCCGACAGAAGAAATATATGCCGCGACGTTTTCGGAAATTAATACCTGCGCTTTGAAAGATGCCGCACGTGTCCTATTGGTCCTCGATAAAAGAATGCGCTGTGCCGATTTCGGGAATCGCTCCTGCACGTACACCTCAATTTCCAAACGGTCTGTATCGGCTTCCGACAAAAGTCGCCGCGCTACGCACAAGAATCGGCTCTTACAAGTATAAATAAATAAGTAAAAAACGTGTTTTTTAAATTTTTTGTCTCGATATTACATTTTTCTATATACTCGTAATTTCTTGTAGACATTTATAAGAATATTAAGAATATTAACACAATTTCAAAGCATAATACATTTTGAATATTAAAAATGTACATAATTTACTTGCCTAATACAATTGGCGAAGTTCTTATCATTTTTCGAACAATTCATTTTTATATCTGGAAAAACCAGTGCTTTTGTGCCATACAAATTTTGAAAATTATTTTCCATTAAATTCTTAATCACTAGTTTATAAAGTCCATACTTCGTAACAAAGTTTGAATAAATACCATTTAACAGTTTTCCTCGCCATCGAGCTCGAAAAGTTAGTAATTTTCCGTTTATTTTAATTATGCACGAGAATAGTAAACATACTAAAAAGTACATACAGTGGATCACAAAATTATTCGCTCAGTCGATAGTGCGGTGAAGACAAATGAAGTAACCATACAACGAAGAACTTTTTCAGATTCCTTTTAATGGATATACATTATTTACAGTTCAGTGTAACAAAATGGTATAAAAAAGTGTAAAGTTTTGATTTATAATTGCAAAAAAAAACGAATTGTGACAAATATCTACATTTTCTCACGCCACAA